CTTTATTCTTCTGCAATCTTGACAGACTCGGTTAATAGTTATTTAATAACTGAGACTAAATGAAGCATGGCATCTATTTAATTTTGCCTGTTTAACCTTATAGGTTTCTAATAATTTTATAGTCTAGTTCAGGGTTGGTACATTTTCCCCCCAGATAGTAAATCTTTATGACTTTGCAGAACAAGAGGCAATGTTCTCAACACTCTGATTATCCATTCTTGCCAAAAAGATAATAGTCTTTTATATTATTATTGAATTTTACATTTAAAAATGTAAAAAAAAGAACATTCATAGTTTGCAGTCTATAAAAAAGGGTGGTAGGGTTTGGCTCAGAAATAGAAATTTTAGGAAATCATTAGTTCATATCAATATTTTTGATTCCAATCCAACACCACAGGTTTTTTCCTAACCTTGCCTATTCCAACTTAAGTGTTTTATTTCTCCCCTAAGTGAGAACCCTGGTTTTTGAAAGCATTGATGTATTTTCTTGTTTAGTCGTTCTTACAGTTTACAGAAATTAGTTGCAGAATTGCTGCACACTTATCTTTACATACACTAAGTAAAATTAGAGTTTGTGTCTTTTTTTTTTTCTTTTACTTAGAAAATCCCATTAAGAATACTGGGGTTATTTCTTCTAAAGTTACTAGGATTGATTACTCTGTTCTTATATTATCTTTTGTTTCTGTTTCTATTCTTTTGAGATTTGCCTTTTTCACTAACCTTAATGATTTAACTTTAAACATGTGAAACATTTACATTGTTCATAAGTCAAAATTAAAGATAAGGGTATTTTCTTGTTCCGTCTTATTCTTTTCCATTTTTTCTTTGCCTTCCTCTTATAGGTAAAACCTTTTTAATTAATTTCTGGTTTATTCTTCTACTGCTACTTTTTTTTTTTTTTTTTTAATATTAAATTTTATTTTTATATTCCCCATACAATTGCAAACGCCCCATTCTGACCCAATCCTTTCCCTCCCGCCCCCACCCCCAAAAAGTGTCTCTGGTTCATAGTTTTTTGTTGATTTTGATTTCACTTTCTTATATTCATTTTCCTGGTCCCTTATTTAAGTTTTCTAGATTCCTGCTATGAGTGAGACCATTCCGTATTTTTCTTTTTCTTTTGGCTTATTTCGCTGAGCATGATCCCTTCCAGCGCCATCCATGTTGCTGCAAATTGCATGTGTTTATCTTTTTTGAATGCTGAGTAATATTCCATGGTATATATGTACCACATCTTCTTGATCCAGTCATCTACTTTTGGGCATTTGGTTGTTTCCAAAGCTTAGCTATTGTAAACAGTGCTGCTATAAACATAGGGGTGCAGGTGCTCTTTGGAATTGATGTTTCTGTGTCCTTTGGGTAAATACCTAGGAGTGGAATTGCTGGATCATATGGAAGCTCTATGTTTAGTAGGTCCAGAAATCTCCACACAGCTCTCCATAATGGTTGGTCCAGTTTGCACTCCCACCAACAGTGCACAAGAGTTCCTTTTTCTCCACATCCTCGCCAACATTTGTTGTTGCTAGTTTTTTTAATATGTGCCATTCTCACTGGTGTGAGATGGTATCTCATGGTAGTTTTGATTTGCATTTCCCTGATTACAAGTGATGTTGAACATTTTTCATATGTCTGTTGCCATTTGCATTCCTCTTCAGAGAAGTTTCTTTTTAGCTCTTCTGCCCATTTTTTGACTGGATTATTTTCTTTGTTGTTGCTGAGTCTCATCAGCTCTTTGCAGATTTTTGTGATCAGTCCTTTATCATTAGTGTTGGGTGCAAAAATGTTCTCCCAGTTGGTGGGGTTTCTCTTTGTTTTTGTTATTGTCTCTTTGCTGTGCAGAAGCTCTTTAATTGATGTAGTCCCAGCTGTTTATCTTTCTCTTCACTATCACTGCTTTGGGTGATGTGTCTGTAAAGATGTCTTTGATGTGCAAATCCCGTAGTGTTTTCGCCTATATTTCCTTCTATGTATTTATGTTTTCAGGTCTTATGTCTAGTTCTTTATCCATTTGAGTTGATTTTTTGTATGGTGTGAGTAGTGGTCAAGCTTCATTCTTTTGCAGTGTAGCACCCAGTTTTCCCAGCACCATTTATGAACAAACTTTCTTGCTCCAATGCATAGTCTTTGCTCCTTTGTCAAAGATTAGTTGACCATAAATCTGTGGGTTTATTTCTGGATTTTCTATTCGATTCCATTGGTCTGTATGTCTGTTCTTGTTCCAATACCATGCAGTTTTGATGATTATGGCTTTGTAGTATAGTTTGAAGTCTGGGAGTGTGATCCTCCATTCCTTCTTTTTTTTCAGTAGAGCTTGGCTATTCGGGGTTTTTGTGATTCCATATGAATTCATCAATAATTGTTCTATTTCTTTGAAGAATGCCATTGAAATTTTGATTGGAATAGCATTGAATCTGTATATTGCTTTTGGTAGGATGGCCATTAATAATGTTTATTCTTCCAATCCATGACAGGGATCTTTCCATTTCTTTGTGTCTTTCTATTCTTTAACAGTGTTTTATAGTTTTCTTTGTATAGGTCCTTTACCTCTTTTGTTAGATTTATTCCCAAATATTGATTTTTTTGTTTCGATAATAAAAGGGTGTGGTTTTTTTGATTTCTTCTTCTCAGATTTATTGTTTGTGTATAGGAAGGCTACTGACTTTTGCGGTTGATTTTGTATCCTGCCACTTTACTGAATTGATTGATGAGTTGAATAGTTTTCTGTGAGTTTTTGGGGTCTCTATGTATATTATCATATTCATCTGCAAAATAGTGATAGTTGACTTCTTCTTTTCCTATTTGGATTCCTTGGAGTCTTCTCTTGTCTATTGCTCTGGCTAAGGACTTCCAGTATTATATTGAAAGCAGTGGTGAGAGTGGACATCCTGTTTGTTCCAGATCTTAATGGAATTGCTTTCAGCTTTTCACCATTGAGAAATGATACTGGCTTTGGCTTGTCATAGATGCCTTTATGATGTGAGATGTTTCCTTGTATCCCAAGAATTCAAGGCTTTTATCATGAATGGGTGTTGCACTTTGTCGAAAAGCTTCTCCAGCATCTATTGATATTATCATATGGTTTTTATATTTTTTTTGTTGAGTGTTGGATAACGTTGATTGATTTTCGGATGTTAAACCATCCATTGT